TGGTCCTTAGCTTCAGATCAGTTTTTCCAGAGCTTCTCTGTATATGTTAATGAACACGTTTCAGACACCTAGATTTGTGACAATGAGTGTATTTACTTTCATCATCTGTTGTTTTTTTAAGTGTGTCTGAAGTTTGTGCTATCAAGTCTGGCTCCTACACATCCCCAAGGTGAGAACAGAAAATGGCAAAAGGAGGGTTAACTCCTTTGAATAAAGGGATTGTAATGTGCCAGTGAAAGCAGTCAATAAAAGAGAATCAGGTAAATTTTTTTTGACTGAACAGGTCCTGTGCAGGAAAGGATGACACTTTGGTCCAAGTAAGAATAAAGCGAAGGGGAAATGTCATGGGTCAGGACAGGTGTGGAGGCAGGAAGCAAAGCAGAGAATTGCATTATCAGGATGCATCATGTGACAATTTTGTGGGTGGTCCTCACAGTCCCTCCACTGGGTCCTGTGCTGTTCAGCAGGATTAGGGATGCTCAGGGAAGGAAGGAGAACCATGGGATGCTGACATCTGCAAATATAATGAAATCAGGCTTGGGAAGGATTGTGAGAAATTCTAGTAAATGAGGAAAAAGTTGGTGAATGAAATTTAATACTAACAGCTGTAAAGTAACGAGCATCAAAGGAAAAGCATTGTGTTCTTCTTGCCCTGCACAGAACATGGATTCTCTTTCAATTGCTTCAGAGAACTCTCAGCTGTGGTCATTTTAGGAAGGCTGGAGGAGTACCCTGGTGTGGGACAAATACAGAAAAGCTCCCCTTGCTTACCTGTCTCAGCAGTTGCTGGCCTAGGAGCACTTTGTGTTGCTGCTCACACTGCAGCTGCAGGAGGCTGGAGGAGAAGATTACAATCACCCAGGGTCTGGAAATAATCCTTAGTGCAACATCTCTTTTCATTTTGGGAGGTCTGTTTCAACTCCATGTGCTTACCCAACCTCCCTCTACACAAAACTCTCTGTATCCTACGGCTGACCTAGCAATCCTATAGTTCTTCATCAGGCTGGGTTTTACCTGTAAGAGCTTTCTCTAACACCACCATTTCACCAGCTTCAGGTTGTGCATGATGAGCTGTAGTTTCTCTGCCTTCTCCCATGTATTCTTTTATTCTGATCACTCTCTACAACTGCTTCAAAGGAGGTTGTATCTGGCTGGGGGTCAGCCTTTTGTCTCAGATAAAAAGCAATAGGACAAGAGGAAACGGCCTCAAGTTGCACTAGGAGAGGTTCAGATAGGGTATTAGGAAATAATTGCTTCATTGAAAGGATTGTGAAGCACTGGAACAGGGAAGTGGTGGAGTCCCCATCCCTGGAGGTGTTTAAAAGACATGTAGATGTGGCTCTTGGGGACATGGTTCAATAGTGGATTTGGGAGTGTTGGGTTAATGGGTGGGTTTGATGACCTTAGAGGTCTTGTCCAACCTAAATGATTCTATGACCCAAGCTATTATTGCTAACACAGATGGAGCTGGTGATGAGTGCCACACTGGGCCTTTCAGGCATGGCTGAAAGGGAATGAAAGGATGTGTGGCTAGAGCATCAGGTAACCCTTAGCCCACCTTCACCAGTGATGCATCTCTCTGATGAGCACTGTGTGTGAGTGGGTGGGTAAAGATGGGTAAGAGTCTGCCTGTGCACAGGACCTTGCCAGACCACATCCATTGCGTGGATTTAAAGGAGCCAGCTCATGTGATGTCCCTCATGTATTCACAGATTCATTGCTGGTGTGAGGATGAAATCATAGGCTCATAGAATTGTCCTGGGATTACTTACCCTCAGCTCTACTCTTGCATTCACATGGCTGTATTACCAAAGCCCAGAGGAGCATCTTCACATTTTTTAATGAGAAATGTGCTTTGAGGAGTGGTATTGACCCCTCTTCACATTAACATGCCCTGTCATGGGAAATTTTCCCAGACTTGCGCCATTGTTGCTGTTTGGGAACTCATCCATGCTGTGGCTGCTCCATATCTTCCTTGGATTTTGTGCATCTCACACCTTCTCTGCCTGACTGTCCTGCCACTGGCTTGTGTGTCTTGAGACCTGCTTTTAGTTACTGTATAATCCAGTGAATATGTGAAAGGGGGTCTCCATGGGTGTCTTATCTTCACAGGGAGATGAAAGTAAGCTAGGTCAGCTGAAGGTAAATATGCAAACTAGGATAAGATTTTAGGGTGAAGCAATAGGTCTTCAAGGATCTTTATTGTCATATGCTATAAATTGACTGCTAAAAATACTGTATGAAATACAAACTATATTCAGATACCGTTTGTTGTATGCAAATACATCTACAGCTCTCAGTGGGTTTGCATGATTACATTAAAATTCACTCTATAATGTTAGTGGTAAAACTTCTAGCAATCATGTGGTAAGTTCCTGTTGATAATGGTTACTACAATGTGTGTTTCCCTATCCAAGAATCCACCAAGTGCCTCATCCACAATCACAGGACAAGTCTGATGTGGAGTTACAAAAATTTCCATTTGCTGCTTCCAGCCCACGTCTTCCTCATTACAACATTTTAACACTTGTTTTAAGGATGAAAAACACTTGTTTTTCATAATAAAAAAAAGATACAGTATGGGAAGAAATCTCATAAGTGAACTTAAATCTATTTAAACAGAACAATACCAGGAAAATATAAATATGCATTTTATATTTCTAACAGCAGAGGTAATCACACTCAGGGATGAGTCCTTGGCCTTTTCCTGTTGAAATTAAGAGGACAAATTACCCCTAACTTCAAAGAGAATAATGAATTACTCTGGGATTACTAAAGTCGTCAGTGACTAGAACTTTGCTTCTCTGCTACCCTTTCCCACAGATTTACTATCTTAATTTTTAAGAAGAATTCAAAGAATGTTGTTTATTTTAGAGGACTACAGGCTGAAGAAAGAATTCAAAACTGTGTGCAGAAGTAGTGTGGGTTGAAATCTTGTTTCAATCACTTTCGTGGAAAATTCAGGTTGATATAAGCCACTCTGCTATGTAACAGGACAACAAAGATAGATTTTTTTTTTTAATATGGGAAAATAATGGAAAATACATTAATTATGCAAAGTTGTTTGATTTTAAACTTATGTTTGCACAGACCAATTCAGCTAACATTCTCCTCTGGAAATGTACTTTGAGGTGTATTGTGTCAGAATTACCTGCCCCATGTCTCTCCATAGGATGTTTTTCTGAAGGAATTTTGAAACAGAAGGTGGGCACAGGGCAGAAAGTCAAGGCTTTCCTAATCCCTGTTTGACAGTTTGAGTGTTGTATGAGCCTTTTGACAGGCGTCCTTCAAGGACCAACTTCTCCCACAGGGAATATTAACTCACCACTTAAAAAAGCAAAAGCTTCTTTTAAAAACCAGGTGCCACAGAGTAAAAGCTCATTATTAAAGAGCATTAATGAATTTCCCTTCTGTTTTTGCTTTTTAGATGTTTATACTTCAAACAGATCTTGCTTTGACAGTGCATGTTTTATACTTGATACACTGAATTAGTTGTGAAAATACTGTGTTCCTTAACTCTGTGAAGTCAGACTCATTTTGTTTTACAATGATATTTTCAATATCTAATGAAAGTTTGCCAAGTGTTTGTTGATTTTTATCTTATCTATTCTTATGTTGATTTATTATCTGAATGGTAAAAATCTGTTTTGATTGGTCTGATGAGAAGAGTTCAAATTGAGCTTGAGAAAAGTTTCAGTGTTCTCAGTTAACACCTTCTGGTGGTAGTATAGGTTACATTACCATACCTGCTCTTCTCTTCAGCCTGGCAGAAGAGAGAACAATTCCCAGAAGTTTGTTAGGATCCAGATGTTGAACGGGAGTAAAAAACATAGAAGAAAAAGGGCCCAACACCAAAATTATTGGACTTTGAGGAAGTGTGCTCTGGTGGAAGTGCCTACAGGCCAAATACTGATCCTTTGCAGAAAACTTTTTACCCACAGGGAGGCTTACTTTATAGACAAGTGCCTTAAAGACCACTTGGAGATTGGAAAGGAAAAGATTGATGGGTTTAGACTTTGTACTGCTTTAATTATGCTCTCTTCATTCCCTCAGCCTCACTTTTGCAGGAAAAAATGTCATATTTTATCAGTACTACTCAGCTAAATGGAACTGCATCTCTGTTTTGCAGTATCTTGGCATTCCATTTTTATCTGGCTTTAGGATGAAAAACATAACAAGTTTGAGATATCCTGTATATGTGTGTGTATAAAAGAAAAAAAAAATAATTCTTGCAATTTAGATCAGGATTTGTGAATATGACATATTTTGACATTTTGAGCAGAATCTCATTTTGGCATTTGAAGCAAATATTGATTCATACCAAACTGTTTCAATTCAAAACTGTTATTTCATTTTGAAAATAGCATTAAATTGGCATTTGCAGCTGAAATGTCAATTTGAAAGAAAATATTTCAGCTTAAGTTGACATACAAGGACAGAACATTTTGATTCAAAATTTCTGTGGGGGAGTAAAAATGTTCTTTGTTGTTGTCCAAAACATTTTTTTTCTCAATTGCACTCATTTTCATGAAACCAGACCTTCCCACAATAACAACAGGAAAACAACTACTTAACATTTGAACCATTTTAGCACTTGGCATTTTGAATCCAGGCCCAGGGGCAGCTGGACTTGTTAGTGCTGCCATGCAGACCTAGCTAAAATATTCTTTGAGTTCATCCTTGCGACAGTTGCACATGAAGAGCAGGAACTGCCATCATTATCACCCTCACTTTCCTCCCCAGTTCACCCCTCCCAAAAACACACACATATGCAGTCTGAGACAGTGCCAAGAGATGATGGTCAGGATTGATGAGACAGTTTCACAAGAGATGATGGTCAGAATTCATCTGCCTGCTCAGGTTCACCCTCTGAAAGATCTAAAAGGCTTCATTAATTATTCTGCTTCGGGCTGGCTGGGAACTAAATGGAGAGTGTGAGTTCTGTTGGATTGGCTTCAAGGTGTCCCTCCTGATCTTACTAGTTCTTTGCCATGTTATTCTCAGATTTCATCCTCTCCAAAGCTTATTCCAGCCTCCTTCATGCTTCCCAGCTCTTTAAAGTTTGCTTTTCTTAGTGTCCGCTTTGTGTCCCTCAGGACAGATTTCAATTTCCTGGTCAGTACATCCGGCCAGTTGTGGCTGCGAAAGAGAAAAGAAAAAAGGAGTTAGCAACCCTGCTCACCAAAGCATGACTTTTCACTTAGCATCATTTTGTGTCAGCCAAAGCAGAAATGTTAAATGGTGGAGTTGAAGTGGATCTTTTGCTGCAATACTTCAAGAGTTCATCCCGCCCAGCTTCTGGGCCACCATCTGTTGGTGGGTGCAAATTCATTATAACATAATGGGTTCTCAGAGACCAAATAAACATCAAGGACTTGTAAGAGGGCAGAAGCTCAGCAAATGACAGGGCTTTAGGAAGGTCTCAAATCTACAACTGCCCTGTCATGGACAAAGCATTATATGGAATAAGATTTACTGTGTATAATAGAAGAAAATATCATTCCAACTGTTTTAAACCAAAAAGAGCTAAATGCTAATCCCCACTGATAACACTATTGCTATTATAAAGAGATTAGAAAGAAATAGCTAATAAATAATTGTATATATACAAAAATGTATGGTTTAAACTGTACACAGCATCACTGTGAGCAATGAATGTGCAATTACTTTAGAATAGAAATATATGCTAAAAACTGACTACATGAAGCAGGTATCCTGTAGAAATAATACAAAGGGTAATATTTTGAAACCAAAACAAGATATATTTAGACTAGATACAAGAAAGAAATTTTTTATTAGGAGCATGCACATTGCAAGGGGGTTTGGACTAAATGACCTCCCTTCCAACCCAAGCTATCTTAAGATTGTATAATCTTATCTACTGCTCAGCTGCACCTTGCTAGCCAATGTTTTGGCCAGCAAGCTGCAATTATTTGGATATTTCCTGAACAAGAAAGAATGTCAAGGGATCTCCTGTCACTAAGCATAGTTCATAGGATGAGGGGATAGAATGCAAGAAGAGTCAAATCCTTGAAGAGTAAAAACCAAACCAAACCAACCAACCAACCAACCAAACAACAACAACAAAAGGAGAGAAAATAACTTGAAAAATTGAACCTGGATACTTTTGGGTAATCCTATGCAGGGTACACCACCTGTATGCTTACACATCTAGAAGTCAGCAGAGAGCAGTACAGACTGTACTAAGATTCACATACAGTGTGTCCCTCCACAAGTACAGCCACAACCAATCACAGGGGTGAAATCTCATCCCTGAGAACTCCACAATAAACTCTGACTCACTTGCATGAGGTCTAAGTCTTATCTACAAACTGAGACCTATCCATGGATCGTAGGGAGTCACTGACCTCTCTGTGACACAGCTCTCTGTTGTGTTTTAAAGAGAGAAATCCCTTTATGCTTATCAGAATTATTGTAAGATGCTATGGATGGGATTCATCTGCCTGAGGATATTTCCCAGCAGCATTTGATGCCATGGTTTGTCCTACATAGTCTTCAGCTGTTGATTAATCTACCAGCCTTACACAAGTGCCTGTGACAGCCATGGTGCTCTGGGCTGAATCCCGCTTGCATGAGTGGGTTAGAAGATCCATGTTAAGGTCACAGACCCTACCACAGGACAAAAGATAAGGGTCATTAATAATACAGCCCAGATGTTTATCCTCAGGTAAGTGGAGGTGCACTCTGGTGTTCCTCATGTTTTGATGAGCATTTTTATCAAGATCCAGCCAGAACCATCACTTCTCTTTGAAATCAAGAATACACCAAGGACAGCAGAGTCCACAGCCACCCTTTCAAAGTTAAAGGATTGAGTTCTGAGCAGCAGAAGTGGAGTCTTGACCTTCCTCTAGACTCCAGGCCAGATGAATACTCCAAAATATATAATTACTGCAACATGGGGATCCCTATTGTACTGCAGCAATAACCCTGTGGGACTGTTAGCATTTTAGGGCTCCAGACTAAAAGGACCATAAATTGGGTGAATGGACCATAAACCACTACATCTGAGATCCTTGTATAATGTTCCTTTATTGCCATCAAGGAAAAACAAGGTTATTGGCAGCATAGTCCCTTTCATCAGATACATCTAAGATAGATTAGCTGGAAAGATCACTAAACCACCAAGCAGGCATGTGGGGATAAGTGGCTGTTGAGGACTTAATTGCGTCCATTGAAAGCTTTCTGCACACAAGAAGGATTTAATTAGGACCACTGAAAAGATCCAGGTATGAAAGTCTTATTGATTTTTCTGCTATTTCCAAAGGATTAAGCCAATTTGCCTAATGAGGACCTCCTGTTCTCTGTAATATATACTGCTGATCAGCCTGCTCCAGTGTGGAAGTCTGTGTCTGTGGGTTATAGCTGTACTAAATACGTATATACCAGTATATGTGCAGGTTTTGTCAAGCAGGGCTAACCCAAGTGTGAGATTCTCTTTGTCTCTGGCCTTGGAGGATTAGCTTGTACTCTTAGGTGTAAATCAGTAGGGTGGTCTTCTATGCCTCAGAACTTATATTTAGCAGTGGATGTTCAGATATGATAGCACTTATGCAGGTCTCCAGATTGTGTCCCATATTCAAATAATTTTGTTTATTTTATTTTTTTAATGAGGATTTTCTACCGTTAGGTCCTTGATAGGGAGAACTTCAGACAAAAATTTAAATATTGGTTAAGAGAGATAAAACAGCCTGGTAACACACTCTGAATCTTTAAAAGAGGTGTTTGGGAAGAAGGAACACAGCCAGCAGTTACCTGCTGGGTTTTATCCTTGTGAGAAAATTGGATGGAACTTTAGTCTTCATAGCAATCTATCAGCCTGATGTGGTGTGTCTTAGGGTTTGTAACCTGCCTATATCTAGGTACTCTGAGCTTTCATACACCCCTCCTTTGTTAAGGGAGTGGACATGAAATGCACACTAATCCAGAGGAGTTGAGCAGAAGTGTTACTGCTGTTTTTAGAGATATTATCAAAAATCCCAGCTCATACATCAGCAAGTGTGGTTGTGCATGCTTCTATGACAGCCTTGCTCTGATAACACCTAATTCCTGTCATATTCCACATGACTCCCAAATTCCACCCAAACCATAAATCCATTATCTCTTGTACACATTGTTACCATAATGATGAATATCAAAGCTGCATCCTGTTACTGTCATGAGGTATGGAATTACACTAGGCAGGAAATGTACATTACACAAAAGCAACACTAGGCAATGTGGATTTTTCCAGGCTTGAACTCCAGTTTTATGTCTGTGTTTACCATGTACTGGGCTCTTCCTGGCACCATGAACATCAACATAGAGTGAATTGATAATACACTACAGATAAACCTAGTAATACTTGATGTCTTTCAGGAATTAATGGGATATTAGGTTATAAATTCATTAGGAAATCACCTAACAAGGCTCCAGCTTTGCTGCTGTTCCAAGCACCTCTTGAATGAGACATGTTATAATAATAACACATATTAAAAAAAAAATTAAAAGGAGAAAAGTAGAAGGAAAGGGAGAAGAAAAGACACTAAAAGCAGTAAAATGCAGACAAATAACACACAAGCAGACACTAAACAGCAGAGCTACATGGGGACTGTCCTACAGCTACTACCTCAGATCTAGGCTCTTTTGCCAAGGAGTTTTTCAGCTTTCCTCCTTTTGAACTCTGCAATTTCTTCTGGGAGTAACCCATGAGCTCTATACCTGCAGTGAACAGGTAGGCCATTAGAAAAAGAACCAGTTCAGTTTCATCTAAAATAAAGAACAGACTGTAATGGGGACTAAAGAAAAGGTAAGTGTCTTCTTGTGAGAGCAAGGAAAACAAATATGGGTCCTGGTTCTGGCCTTATTAATTCTTCTCTTGTGCCACTCAACTTACTGCAAAGGATGAGGTCAGCTAATTAAATTTTAAGTGTCTAGAGGGCTCTTGGCCCTCTTAGACACTTCTGCCAGGACAAGATGAATGACTTTGTTGATTGAGGAGTACGAACTATATCTTTATCAAGGCTGTTTCCAGAATCAATTTAATAAGATGGATCCTGAGAGAATGATTCCATTATTCCACTGATCCTTGCCCACATTCATCAAAGGGAGGAACAGAACAAAACAGCAGTGAAGACCTTGCAATTTGTTAGTTTAGTTCCTGCTTCAGTGCCTTTTGTTCTTCCAGGGATGTTGCTTTCAGAAGCTCTCAGCTCGCTAAGCTGTGGGCATATTTCCTCATGGAAATCCTATTTAACAGTCAGTAGAGAAAGCCAGCTGTCTCTGAATGCTGAACACAGTTTTAACGGCCTTTCCTGTGGGAGATTAGAGTGAAGCTTCAGGTCTTCAGCCAGTTCTGCTCTACAAATGGAAATGCCGAGACAAGTTGTCCTGCCCTCCCATGCCTTATCTAAATTCTTACCTATGGGAACATGTTTCTCCTTTTTAGAAACATTGACCCCTGTTTATAAACTTCCTCAAGAGCTATGGTGCCTTTAGGGCTGGGTCTCAAGGACAGGAAAGCCAGGAGGATACAATCCTGATGGGTTCCATGAGGAATTACTTCTTCTGGGAATCTACAACTCAGGTGAGATTTAGCACCCTGGCATTTTTTAATCTGCAATAGAGATTACCCCATCTAAGTCAAATATCTTGGGTTCTATTCTGAGCCAATATAGGGAAGCTGGTGCTGCTGGGCCACAGCAGAAGTTTATCCCAAAGAAGAAAAAGATCAACACCAAGAAACGTCTGTTCCTCTGCACTGACTCTTAAAAGACACATAAGGTGACCAGATGAGATGACGATAAATAACTTTCAATAAGACTAAATCCTGCCTGTTGTAGGGAGAAAAGAAATCTTTGTGTTCAGATCCTTTATGGAAGCAGTAACAAAATTCAGCCACACATGGGTGAGCATCAGGGGTTTTGTTTTTGAGTCCAAAGAGCAGGACTTCACCCACAGTGGGGTGGAGGACATTGTTGCCTGTGTTTGCACAACAGTGCAGCAGCTTGTGACCCACTGAAGGTGAAGGCCTGACCAGTGTATTTGGTGATCAAGCATGGTATTAGACTTCCTGAGGTCCACCTCCAGATGCTGCTCACACAAGTATCAACAAACTGTTTGGCAGTGACTTGATATCTGACCACTGCACAACAGCAAAAAAGATCCAGTGTACACAGAACCTGCCCATCTCCTGAACTCACAAATATCTGAGCAACTGGAGAGGTCTGGTTCTGCATTATCCATCCCAGCCTCAGGCAAAACCCCTCTTTTTGGAGACAGCTGTTATTTTTCCGAGGTTCTCTCTTCCCATCACCTTGTTTGCAAAACCAGCAGGAGAAAATCTGTGAAGTTCTGAATTTGCTTCCTTTCTGAACACTGCATTTAGGGTTTCTTGCTATTAGCACAAATTCTGTGATATTCCAGTCAATTCTCCCAGAAACTTCAGCATGCTCAGGAAGAGTTTGTTTAAATATAAAAGCTGGTGCAATCACATCACAAGTCAAACAGTCTTGTTGAAAGGGAGATGAGTCATCAATTTTTATTGCCTTTCTCATCCTCCATCAGATTTCAGAGAAAAAGTCTTATTTCTCATTGTCATTATGCCACAGCCATGATCAGAATACTTCTTTGTCTTCATTTTGCTGTTGTGTTAGGTGGTCAGAAATAGTTTGAAAAGAAGGAATTGAGTGTGAAGCAAAACACATCAATCCTGACACTGCATGATCAAGACTGTGAGACAGAGGATGCTTTGATTTCCTTAAATAACTCCTGTTAAAAGTTATATAAAATTTATTTAGGAAATATTTTTATGCTGTTGTACAATGCCAGCTATGTCAGGACAACAAGAGTTTTTCACTGCTGTTTGGTCCACAAGCTCTTTTAGTTTTGATTTAAAAGCACATTTGACAGACTTCAGATAGGAGCCCAAGTAGAAATGCTTTCAGTTTTCTCCTCAGAAAGACACATGAACAGCAGTACGAGAGGCTCTCTACAGTTCCATTCTACCAGGGTGCTCCAACACAGACAAAGCAATGAGAACCTTGTACTAGGTAGAAGAAAAAAACATTTTGTCCTAAGGAGTGTCTTTTTCCTGGCACATAAAAAGGTGTTTCTCACTTAGGGGTTAGGATTATTTGAGCATCCTTCACTGCTTCTCACCCATTTATCTTCAAACAAGGATCTCGGTGCTTCTTCCAGGACTGATCCTCATGCATGTGAGAGGGCCGCAAAACTCTCACCTATTCCTGGCTACATTTTCAGTGTTCAGTGATGTTGCACATCAGGTTGCACTTATCATTGTGAGTGGTAGTGGGCTAGAAGACCCATTAACCCTTCTGGGTTAAGACTTAATTAATTCATACTAGGTAAGGGATTTGGGGTTTATGTCAAAATCAAAAACTCTCATATGCTCTTTACCTAGGCAATGGGTTAATGGTTAGAAGCCTTTGAGAGGATCAACAATATGTATCTTTGCTGAATTGTATTAATGTTTTCCCTCCAGTTAACTTCCCATAAATAATTTAAAGGGAAAGTTTCTGAATAAAACTACCTGCTGTGATAGAGGACTTCTGATGCTTTCAAACACTGTATTCACTATCAGAGAAAAGAATTTCTGAACCAGGATGGTACAAGTAGGAAATTCAGAAGACCAAGAATGTCACTCATCTCCTTGGAATGGCAAATGAAAATCAGCCTGGCTCTAGGTATTGTTTTGGTTTGGGTTTGGTTTTTTTGTTTGTTTTGTTTGTTTTGTTTTGGTTGGTTGGTAGATTGGGGGTTTTTTTCCTTTCTGAATTTCATTAGCCATTGAATTTTTCCTAGTCTTAGATATTTTTCCAGTGTTCTCCAAAATGCATCTAAGATTTAGTCTTGGTCAGGCTTGTGTCTGGTAATTTTGTATAACCTCTTATCCTTTCTGCTTTTTTGGACACAATGAGTGTTCCACTGGAGTTGAAAAGATGCTGCCTGTCCCAAAGCATCACAGGATGCCAATTTCAAATATCCCATGTTTATATACTCACAACTTCCTGCTTTTTCCTTGTCTGATAATTTAGCCCCCAGATAGTCACCTGGTGTACCCTGAAAGAATTTTCACAGCCTTCCTTTAAACCTGTTTCACTGAAATGTCAGAAGAATGTCCATCCTACAGGTAGTCTGCTGTTTGATGGCTTGGCATGCTTGGTTTTGCTGTCTCTTAATTTTGTAACACCTTCTCTGTGTCCAGTCTGCCATTATTTCCTGTGGCAGTACCAGGTATATGTGTAGAAATCTACCTTGAAGCAAGGGAAGGTCTGGAGAGGCTACAGAACTGTCCTGTGCTCTTCTATGTCATGCAAAGTTAACACAAAATTCTCATGAAAACCAGATATAACAGATTTGACCAGACCAAAAAAAAAGGAATTGTCCTAAGAATAGGAACTTCAAAAAATTCCATCCATAGGATCTGACCTTTAAATCCATAGTCCACAGGTTTGCACTTCCATAGCACGACATAAGACCAAGCACGATATAGTCACCTTCACTTTGTAGGAAACACCTCTCAGCATGGCTACCACAAATGCCCAGCTGTGGATGTTTAGGCTACCCAGGTCACAGCATAAAGCAAGAGAAAAAACAAGTGCTCATAGATCTCATGGTAAGGAAATACCCAAGAGAAGGTAAGTTCCTCAGGATGGAGTGAAAAAATTAGTAGAAAAGGAATTTATTCAGTATTTCCTTCTTCAGCTCAAAAGCTTACAAGTAAGGCTACAATAATCCCTATGGAATTATACAAGGCAGTGACTTGAAACCACCATATTAGCCAACTAGGGAGAAACAATTTCCAGCCTCTTGATTTTGTGCCAAAACATGAATCATGGAAAGCAGGACATGATGTCTGATACCTATCTGGTAACAGCACAGCCTATGTGTGAGGCAGCTCTCCAAATATTTGCTCTGCTTCAATATCCAGTTACTTCTTTCTGTAACTTGACATTTGGCCTATGGGGTATAGGTTTCATTTTGCCCCCTCGCTAGGACAAATATGGTTTTGTGTAATTTTACTTTTTCTCTCTGTTTACTGTCCAAATCACTCAAGTGCTGTGTGACCTGCGGGGACAGAAATACTGCAAAAGAAGAGGGAACGTTTGGGCCTTGGGACAAGAGTAGATCACCTCTGTCTCTGCAGTGTTAAGGGTGGACTCTTCAGAGATTACACATGGATGCATAAGATCCTCTGATCCGGAGTATGTGGGGAAATGAGGAAATCTTTTTATTTAATAAGAGAGAATGAGGCCGTATGTAGAACAATATTGATCAGGAGAAGTCAGAGCTACATTAAAACAGACCTTGTTTGCTGTCAGACACCCATCTCTGAAGTAGTTACTTCAGGACCTCAACAAAACAGGCATCTTGCAAGGGCAAATTGAATCAGACCCTTAGCAGGTATTTCTCTTTATTGTCTATAAATGGAGTCAAGGCTGCTTGACTCCCTTGCTTTTAATATGGGTGACCATGTTGGTCTTGTCAAACAAATCCGACTCCTGGTTTTTATGTCCTGACCACAGCACCCTTTCCAGGCATACAGAAGGTGACAGCTGAACAGGGAGTACTCTGTGAAGCAAGGCATTGCAAAGCTAGAAAATGACTTAATGAAGGCAGCATCATTAAATCTTCAATTACATAACAGTGCCATAAATTTGTAACACAAAGCCTTCTTATTCTTCTATTAGAATGAAAGGGAAGAAATGCATTTATATTTTGAATGAGGCTGATGTTTTCAGCAGGAATTTGATGGAAGGGGAGAAAAATCTTGAGTGTCTCCCATACATTGATGACACCAGGGACCTGAAAGTGGCCCTATCTGTGTGCTTCCTACATGCAAAAAGAGCAGGAAGGAGATTCAGGGAGGAACTCCTTGGTGTTCAGTCTCCAAGTGATTATAGGGGAGAAGCAGGAAGTTTCCATGTCACTTCTTGGGAGCTGTGAATAAGGAGAGGTGCTGAAGGAATCACATCCCTTCTGAGTCCCAGTACTATGCCTGAGCATGTAAGCCACCAAAGGAGCAGGATATAAATTGTGCAAACAGATAACATGGACAGACAGATATTCAGCCTGTGAACTCCAAAAGAGATGTTTTAATGAATGTCTTGGACAGTGACAGAGTCACACTTACCCTGGTTTTATTTCAGGAGGTTTAGGTAAGGGCTTCTGGAAGCCTTTTTTCCCAACCAGCCAATATGTTTCTTCTACTCCTTTACCCTAAAATAAAACCAAAAATCCAAATAAAAAGCAGCTTTCTGACTGCCCTCTGCTTGATATGTAATTTTTCTCTCTAGGTTTCTCTGGCTTCATATGTATCCAGAGACAGACCATGCCTGGACATTTTGGGCTGTCCTTCAGAATAGCTCAGGGATTATCTGAGTTTCACTTTCCTGAAAGAAGATATTAATTATCCTTGTTCCAACTGTCATTTACAAATTACCCTCATTGATCTGGGTCATTGGAACGACACAGCTGAACAGAAATTGGAAACTACAGGACCACTAATCATCTTATTTGGCAGCACTACCATTATTAATTGAGACATTTTACAACTCATTCTGAACTGAGTATCAGAATAATAACTTCCTCTCCCACCATGGATGGTTTAGTTTGTAAGGTTTGATGCATCTGATGAAACTATTTGAGAGTCAAACACCTTTGACTGAAGGAGGGGAGGAAAACCAACAATCATCTTCACATAAATTAGACCCTGAAAGTACTTCAGGCTTATAATTTCCTGAAAGGCCAATTTATCCCCACTAACTATGTAAAGGTTTCTTTCCATTGACTAGACCTGGAATATTTACCCCAGATCTCCACTTGCAGACATATGAACCTGAATGATTCCACTTGTCATGCAAGATTGTTGGGGGACCTGAAGCCATATTCAGATATTTTATTCTGGTGTTTAAGGAAAGCAAATCTCCTACTTCTGTCTATTGACTATGTAAGGGTAGAAATTATGTTTATTATTATTTAGTACTGCCTTGTTTGGACATTGAAAAGTAGCAGCTTCTGTCAAGGGTGGACTAAATAGTCTACTATATAAGTACTTATATCCAGCACATACAGCTGATTGCTTGATCCCACAGTCCTTCAACAACTACCTAATGTACTGAAACAAATGAAAGGGACAATTTTGGAAGGATTCAGCTGAAGATTGGTGTATGAAGGCCAAAAAAGATAATAATATGAAAATTCCTCAGGCAAGATGACTCCCCTGTGAAGTGCTTCACATAGCCCCAGCTCTTACCCTCAGTTCTGTTTTTCCCCTGGGTATGATTTCATAGCCTTCATTCAGATTCCGAAGTATATCTACTGTACTTTGGCTGACATGAATTCTGTAAGCTGGAAACAGAAAGCAAAGCAGCTGGATCATTGTACTGCACACATGCTGTGAATTCCCCACTGCTTCATCCTGACAAGGAAAAGGGCTCCAAAGCAGGAGTGCTCCAGCTCAGGTGTGTGGCTGGTGTAGCTGTGTGGGGCTCCTCTCTGTAGAGTTTAATGCTGGCTGATGGATTCTTTTAGGCAGGGCTGTAAAGAGCACAGGGAGAGAGGAGATCTGCTCTGGAGGCTTCCTGGAGAAGGATACCAAACACACTCAGTGTAGAAGTCCATCTCTTCATAAAGATGGTAAGTGGTTTTCCAGTAACATTGTCAGCTAGATTTCTGTTTTATCTATTGCCACAGTATAACTAGGGAATGAGAAAGAAATGAAAAATAGCCAACTGCCCTACTCCAGACACCCAACATAATTTGAAAGCTGGGATGAAGAGTAGAGAGATGAAGTTTGCAAGGGAACATAAAGAAAATGTGGCTATGCATGTAGATACGTCTGGATTTTTAGAAATTCATTCCATCCAGAACTGCCATTTATTCTATGAACAAAAAAGGCAAAGGTGGAGAACTTTATTGAATTCCCATCTTCCCCAGATTGTTTTACAGCCACTACTGGAACTCACTGAAATTTATTGTTCTCCTTGTCTGAACAAGACAGGAAATATTTCTAAAACATTTTCCCCAAAGTAGCTTTTTTTGGTAGAGCTTTTATTTCAATTTTATCAATCATATTGCCTTTCTCTTTGAAGGATGGGGTATGAGCTGATTAATTTTTTTTCCATAATAATAAGAAAGAAAAAAATCAGTTTGAATGTATAGAGGAAGATCACACAGCTATGAGCTACATTTCCTGAGAGACTAACCTACACTTTGCCTATTTATCTATATGCATTTCTATTAATGTGTAACAATGTTCTTGTACCTGCAGTGCTCCTGCTGTCTACAGTCGCAGTGGGACTTTCTATGGCCATGGGTATGATGGAAGCAGTGCCCACCTGTGCTTCAAGCCCTTGCTTTGTACCGGTCATGAAAGGCAAGTGAATTATTTTAGTGTGCAAGAACAGCTCTGAAGTAAGGGTTCTTAGCACTGACTGAAAGCAAGATCCAAACCATGTTGGAGGAAAGTAGGACAAGATTCATGTTGGTTTTGGTTGACGGGATTCGAGTCAGAGAACTGCAGTTGTAAGGCAGGGTCCTAAAGGCCGACCTTCAATGGCAACACTGGTGCCCTCTCCTTCAGGCTGCTTTGAATCCTGTCCTTTGAATTCCCCCTTTCTTTGACTGTCCCAAACACTCACGCAGGCCAGTGGATTCCATTCTTGATGCCGTGTTCACCGTGTCCCCGAAGAGGCAGTACCGGGGCATCGTCAGCCCCACCACGCCTGCCACACAAGGCCCTGAAAGACACGTCAGCTGCGTTACCCCAATGGCCCTGCATAAATCTAGGGATTCACTGAGAAACAGATCTCATCCTCTCCTCTGATACTCAAAAAACATATTGGGAATACAGAAGAAGATTTTCTAAAGATCTCATTGGCCTTGGTGCTTGCCAAGCAGTCCAAAGTTAAGCATTGCTCTGGATTTCATGCTGGTGTTTCATGTCTGAGAAAGGTCGTGTGTGGTAGGCCCTCGGTTCACCATCATCTGGGAGAAATTTGTTTTGAGTTCATGGAAACTGAAGAACAATCATAATCTCATTTTAAAAAGGTCTTTTTCTATGTGAGAAAACTAAAGTTCAGATCCTGTGACATGCCCTGTAAGCTACTGAAACAGGATTAAAAATCAGCCTTGGGACTCCAGAGGTGCTGGCAGCACTCTGGACCACCCTGTGTCCCCTCCTTGGAAAAGAAGACACTGTTAGCTGGCCTGTCTAGCCAAGACCTCTTTTTTCCCTCTTTCTCATTCTTTATCCAAGATCTGTTCAGTTCCTCAGTAGCTTCCAAAGAATCATTGCCAAGTTGTCAGGGAGAGGTATGTGTGCAGGATCCTTATGATCATGCACAGACTGGGAGATATGTGGAAGCCAAACACCACAGACAATTTTCATCTGGGGCATTTGGCTTAGTTAATGTTTAGACTCCACTCTGAAAGAGGAGATGCTAAATTTCATTGCCTACAATAGAAAATATCAGGCCTGCAAAATAAGTGCAAAAATGAAAATAAAAAGCCATGTGATAAGGTGTGGAGCTTCCTGCAGACAAAAGGCAGGACTCTGTATTTTCCATCAGAGCCATTTATGAGATATGCCTTTTCAGGCTTTGCCTGTCTTTTCAATGCCATGATCCTTCTGAATTAGTACAACAGATGTCTAGGAAATCTTTCCCCATGCAAGATTACAAGAGATGTGAACACTGTACATCATCAACAGTACCTGAAATGATGCTATAGATTAGGGTTCATAATATAAAAAGGTTAAAATATTGGGTTTAAAACAGTAATCATATAAATAGTAGCAATTGTGACCTAATTTAGAAGCAATCAGTTACTTAGTTTTGCACAGGGCAATTTTATGCTGATTTTAGCATTATTTTAAAGAAATTGATCCTTTATATAGTTTTCAGATCTATCTTAAGGATAGTAAAACTCCACTGCTGCGACTTCATAAGAACCCCTCTTGCTGTGAACTCTGAAAAGTTGTTGCTGCCCAAAGTTGCTGGATTTTAAAATACTTCATGAAGATGCAAACTCAGAGGTAAGACAGATATTGACTCCTTTCTTTCTGATGAATCACTGCTTGATAAAAGATTTTTTAAAAAGAGAGAGGAAGAATGGTTCATAGAAAAAATATTACAAGGACTTGAGCAGCGTGGATCAAACTGGATAAAACACAGCAGGAAGAGACTGCTAGATATCACAAAAACCTGATTTAAGGGGGTTTCTTTTCAACTGTCAGTGTACCTCAGACAAAACACTGTTCCTCAGAATCTCCTACAAGTTAATTCCCATCCTTATGAGTACTCTCTAACTTGTTTCAAGCTTTTCAGGAGAGGAACTATTAAACTTCCTCACTAGAGGAAGTTTAATTCAGATTTTCATCTATTGGCATTTCTATACACAACTGTAAAGGCACCATTGATAGTCTCAGCCTAGGACCTTAGATTCCCTAACTTGTCTTTATTGTGTGCATGCTAATAGACATATACACAAAAAAAGGTCTTGTTGGAGACTTCTTATTCATGCTTCAGTAAGACACTTCCCTGGGAAAATGCTATCTCACAAAACAGTGCCTCTCTTCTTTTTGTGATGATAACGTGACAGCAGCAGTCCCAAATCTCACTAAGGACCAAAACTCCTTCTGTATTAGGTGATGCAAGGACACAAAAAGGTGGCTCCTGTTGAAAAAACAGCCCTCACTGAGGAGGCTTTGCACTCCATTGGTTAGAGCATGGTGCTAGGAACACCAGGGTCATGGGCTTGATCCCTGTATGGGCCATTCACTCAGGAGTTGAACTCCACGATCCTTGTGGGTTCCTTGCAACTCCGAGCATGTTATGATACTGTGACTCCATTTTAAGAAGCACAAATAAAGGCAGATGAGCTTCTACTATAGTCAGTGGAGACCAACTCAATGTGGTCAACTGAGCCATAAGAGCTTTTCCACTCCTGCAAATGAACAGCATTACATGTCCTCAAAATGAGTGCAGGCTCCCTAAAAGTCCTGGAAAAACCTCCGTGTGGGTGCCTGAATTCAGGTTCCCTTCTCAGTCAATGCAATTACCCAGCCACTTCTGCACAAAGCTCACAACATCGGAGAGGCAAGATTTTTAAGGTGAGGTGTTATCTTTCTAGAATACTGCTTTTAAGTCTGTCCCATTACAGAAGGTTCTCAGCTCAAAACCAACCCCACCATATAAGCATTCCCAAAATTACACATTCCCTATGTTGAAAGCATCTAAGACTTAATTTGCTCACTGCCCTCACCTCCTGTGTGTGTTCCCCCTTTTCCAAAGAGCTTCAGCAGAAAGCTAAGAAAAACTTCCAATGGTAAATCTCCTACAGTTACAAGTCTCAGAGGAAACCAGACACCCTGTGATGAGGACATTATGACCTAGTTGTTTAATTACAGAGATCCATAGGTTTGCTTTGAAGTATCTCTGCCAGGGCTTGCAAGGGTCAGTTAACGAGAGGCTCTGGCTAAGACTCTGCAAAGACTATCAGCAGTGCTGCAGAGTTTAAGAGCCAAGATCAAAGTGCAGGGCTGACTGCCAGAGAGCCTGACTGATACACAAACCATCTTCAGCCTCTGTGGAAGAGCTTATCTTCTCACCACTGCTTTGGCTGACTGTCCTGCTCCAGCCCCAGCATGGATAATGGGGAAAGAGCTGAGTCAGCCGAGTTATCCTGGACCTGCAATGAACTCAAGAGAAAACAGCCAAGATTTCAGGATGTGTTTAAAGTAGGGAAGAAAATGCAGACCTAGCACTGGTTGTCTTGTCCTCTTTGCCTTACCCATGCATTGCCACAAGTGGACCACAGACATGAGCCACCAGAAGTTCCCAGAGGTGCAGCTTTCCCTTGGGGTTGAAAAGGCATGGGCAGAATGCATTTACTGCTTTTTCTGAGAGGGCATCATGAGCTCTTCTTGGCACCAGTTTCCAGAGAGCAGCTGAAGGATGTGACTGGGGTCATACCCTTTCTCCATCCTTTCCAGTACAGTGAAAGTGTCAGCCAAGTTCTCCTCTCCCCCAAGAGCTTCCCCAAGGCTTTCATGATGCTGATCATTCCCTCTTCATCCATCTTTTCTCAGGAGAAACAGGGTCTAGGGTTAATCAAACTCAGCTGTCAGCTCTGTGGCTCGGAGAGCTGGTTTGCTTTGGAACATGTGTTTGCGGCTGCTCCCATGACAGTATGATGCTGCCAGATCTGTGCAAAACAAGATCTGCAGAGTCCTCCGCCCTCTTCCCCTCACACCCAATACAAGAGTGAATAGCAATTCTGCTTTCCAGATATCCAGAGTTCATAAAAACAACAACAAAAAAATATTACTACCCCCTGTAGGCATCATCTAGGGATGTATTTTTTGGCCAATTGCATGGGAGATACACTGCATAACTGCTGTCAACAGGCAGCAGCAGATGCTGCACAGAAAATTCCTCTCTTTCCATGCTGAAAATATGCTGCTGGTGCTCCAGAGACTCCTGCTCTGGGCAAGACAATCTGCAGCCATAATCTCATCTAATTTCTGACAGAGTATAAAATACACAGTGCTCCTGCAATCATTCCTGAATGCTTTACACTTCTATGAAGGGTCAACTAAGAATCACAAACTTCAAACAAAACAGTAGGAAGATGTGTTTTAGAGATAACTCCAAAAGAGGATCTTATAAGATCTGGGAACCATAATATTGATTTTAACTCTGCTAAAGTTACAGCTCTGTTCTTGGGATATTCTGACTGAGATACTTCCCTTATTCTGCTTCTGTCTCCCAACATGTACATCAGGGACCAGGATATTGACATCTGCAAAATTCTTGCATGCTAAAGCTCCAAAAGCCTGGATATTATCAGATAAGCAGAAGGATAAAACCCCATATATTATTGGGTCAGACTCCTGGGCATTCTTAATCATTGTTTGGCTTCCCACAGTGGGCACCACCTGGTAGTTTAGAGGAAGAGGCAGGAAATATGGTGACAAACAGCTGGGAAAAAAATCTATTAATGGTTGTCTAAAAAATGTACAGAATTATGAAGGTTCATATATATTATACAAATACTGATTCATGATTATATATATATATATATAAAAAGAACTACCTCCATTCATTTTAAACAAGCAACCTTTCTGTTGATTGAATACATTATGACTTCTATGTCAGAGATGTTTTCTTTATAACGTAACCTTTTCTTAAGAGATGTATCACTTTTTTCTTCCAGTATATCCTACCTGTAATAAATATCTCCAATTTTTTTATGCTTTCACTTTATATGCCAGTGTTTCTGTGCTCTTTCATTTCAGAACAGAGTTGCAAAGACATCACTGCTGTCCCACTTCTGAAGGTCCTATGTCGCATTAAAGAGTTATCCATATGATGAAACCTTTGTGACTAACATGCCAGATGTAGTTCCTGGCTGAGAAGAACAAAAATCCCTCCTTAAAATAATGCTAAACCACTTTCCTCCACAAACCCTCTCTGGGTTTTGTTTTTCCACATCCTTGTTGATGTAGAAGACTTTAAAGTGTCTTGCAAGGGTGTTTTTTTGGAGGGCAGCAGTTGAGAAGGAGCTCTCTGATGTTCAGTTGCCTACCTGTGTGCAGCCCAATTCGTATCCTGAGAGGAATGTCTGGCATGTGCCTCATTTTGAATGTTCCCACAGAGCTGAGGATGTCCAAGGACATGTTGGCAATTTCAGCTGCATGCTTGTTTCCATTCCGTTTTGGGAGCCCTGAGGCAACCATGTAGGCATCACCAATTGTCTCCACCTAGCAAATACCATCACATTAAGAAATAAATATAGAAATTGAAAAAGATGGAAAGGAAACAAAAACACAGAATAAAATTACTTCTCACCTTGTAAACATCATGGTTTCCAAGAACAGCATCAAACAGAGAGTAAAGGTCATTCAGAAGGTCAACTACTTCAATGGGTTCACTGAGGGCTGAAATGGATGTGAAGCCCACAATGTCATTGAAGTAGATGGTCACCTGGTCAAAATACTCCGGTTCCACAGTGCCACCAGTCTTGAGGGCTTCTGCCACTGAACTGAAATAGCAACACAAAAAAGATGGCAGAAAACAAACCCTTTTCTAGTGCATGCTCAAGAGCTCAGACTCTTGTTTTTCTGTGTTCAGATCTTCCACTATATGGCTGTAACCATTATTGATTAGAGTTTCTTACTTTGATTTGAAGGTGCTTGTCAAAATTGATGGCCAGGTCTGTAATGTTGCTCATTTCTGGTGTTGACCAGACTAGATATGGGCTTGTTTTGTTTGGTTTCCCAGGGATTTTTTACCACTTAAAGTACCAGTACTTACGGTGGAAGCATTTGTGACAGCAGTTTTTCTGTCTTCTGTTTTTCAACCTCTAGCTCTTCAGTCCGCTCGCTGATTAAATCTTCCAGGTTGCTTGAGTACTGCTCAAGCATCCTGAGCATTGAGTCAATGATATTGGTCTTTTTCCCTTTGTTGATGGTTTTGAACTGGAAAATTAAATTGGAGAGTTATTTGTTTGTCTCTTTACACCACTGTAACACTCAGAGTTTGGAAAGGAACAAAAAGCAAACATTTCTTTGGAGGTGTCATGCTAAAGACTGGATTTTTCAATGGCAAGAGTTTAAAGATAAGGAAAAGGTGAATTAGAAGGTGAATTTGCATCAATCAGTGAGAATTAGATGAAACACAACCTTACATTAGTTGTCAACTTGTACATGGTTATGGAATCTTGCCAGGTTGCAGGTTTGCAATCCCCTTTATCCCATGAACAATCTTTAGGGTAACTTGCAAAACTTTGCATTCAGAGGCACAAAGTTCAGGCTGTTAGCAACACTTACAACCTTTTTACATGTTACAGCACTTAAATCCATCTTCTCACACTGACATGCATGTGTACTGCCACCTCCATTCCCAGTTCTTCACTGAGATGTGCTTTCTCCTTCTGACCTGAAGTTGAGCTGCTGGAACTTTTCAGATAATTTGTGGCTTTAGAGGCTACCTTAGACTCAACAGTGGAGTCAGCAGGTTCAAAATTCTTCACAGCATCATAGAAGCAAAAGGTAAAAATTATGGATATTTGTTTACCTGTTTTGAGGAAATGCCCTAAAATTGAGTCAGGGAAGGTTTATATTGGATATTGATAATTTTTTTTTTCACAGAAGGGGTTTGTAAAACCTGTTTGGAACAGACTACTCAGGATAATGGTTGGAGTTACCATCCCTGGAAGTGCTCAAGAAACATGTGGATGTGGCACATGAGGACATGGTTTAACAGCACACATGGTGGTGGTACAGGGTTGATAATTGACTATCTTAAAAGTCTTTTCCAACCTTAATGAGTCTATGATTCTATTACCTTATAAGAACACAGGAACTACATTGCTTGATCAGAAAGGAGGGTTATTTTCCCAGTACCTGTCCATGATATTGGCCAGGTATGTGGGATCCACATAACAGATATGTGGGAAAACTGTTTAAAGAGGCCTCAGGTACAGTCATATTCTCCAAGTTTCCACCAATCTAGAATTGAGTGACCTCCTATGCCAAATGTTGTATCTTTGTCTTTAACAGTCTTTGGTGAATTTTCCTTATAGTTACCATTTAAACATTTTAGAAGATTAAAAGAAAAATTGGTCTGAAGGTGCATAATTTACAAATCTTTCATCTCCATGAGACCATCTGTGCAGGTACACTGCAAATGAGAAGACATCAAGCCCATGTCCAGAGTGCTTCATCACCCCTAAGTCAGGACAAGTCCAGAGCTCTGCAACTTCTCCATTCTTGAATAACTGAACAAAAAAACAAACAAAAAAAAAACACAACAAAAAAACAACCCCCAAAAAAAAACCCACCAAACAATAAAACACTTCCCTGCCAAGAACAAACAATAGGATTACACCAGCTTCTTTATTTACTGACCTTATGAAATACCTCCTCAAAGGTTGGACGTCGTTCAGGGGCTTCAGCCCAGCATTGCTTCATTACCTGGATGCATGTCAGGGGGGCTACCTCAGGAGCTATGTTTGGGCGACACAGGGGAGGGGGCTTCTTCACTTTCTTTATAATTTCTGTGGCAAGAGAAGAATGGGAAGAACACTGTAAGATGGAGGGCCTTGATAGGGGTAAAGGACATGGACCTTTTCTTGTGTCCCTGGCTTGCTTCTTCAGCTGTCACTCTTAGGCCTTAGTACCCAGTCTGTGCCAAATGAAGCTGGACATTTCTGCTTTTCTGTATCAGTAGTCTCTTGAAGGATTTAAAGAAGATTCATGTCTCTGGAGAACCAGGTTATGAGTAATAAAGTGGCTGGATTGGGGAAGGATGTGTGACAGATGGATGTGTGAGCCTGCAGGCTTGTATTTAATTAAATTGCCTCTGACTCTCTCCACTAGGACCTGCAGCCTTCTAAGACAGCAGAGGTTTATGGCTGAGCCCAGACAGGAAGGATACCAGCCTCTGGTGCTTCGTCATTAACTGGGAACCAGGACGTAGGAGGTTGCTGGGAGTGGCGACAGTGGAAAGTATGTTAAGGGGGAGAGGTTGAGTTCAAAACAGTGTCTGGGAAATTACTCCCTGTCTAGAGCTCCCTTCCTAGAAATGAGGCTTGTAAGGAATTGGGCTTGGGTTTCCAAGCCCTGAGAAGTCAGCCTTTTAACACCCACCAAAGTTATGGTATTTGACATCTTATTTTGTTCAGCGCAGAGCAGACAAACGGAATGAAAACCTCTTTCTCTGGCAGGAGTCCTGCTGTTGCTAAGTACCCAAAACTTTTCAACATTTACAGCTTACTTTAAAGATCTTTGGCTCATCTTCCCAGACTCCTCCAAATGAACTAATCAAAACATCTGGCCCCAATATTTCCAGGGGCAACCAAGGGGAAATGCCTCCCCCAGATTGTTTTAAAGTTCACAAGTGAAACCTCCTTAGGATTGAGACACAATGAGTAGAAATTAATCATTTTATCAGGTTAGAAAAGAGGACTGAACTGTGTTCAACATTTGCTGGAGGTTCTGCAGGGAGGACAAGGTGGGGAGAACCTGCTAATTACATCATAGTCTACATCATAGGTCCAGCTCTGATTTATGGAGTGGGATACATCATTGTCATTGCATTGTGACAATAGCTTCAGGCATAGAAAAGTCAGGGCCCCATTTTCAAGCTGTACAGGCACATATTGAATTGTCATACCCCAATTTATGATTGTTCAGCTTAAAATATGTTGAGAATGGGCTGTCACTGAAATCAGCTAATTTTAGATTGTTGTCACTCCCTCCCTGTTTAAGTGCTTGTACCCTGACTCTGACTGCAGTGGATTTGCTCTTCCCATGGATGCACAACATGGTTGCACCATGAGCAGCTCCTAAAGACTTCACCTGTTTGCTGTTTCTGATATACATAAGCAAAATGATGTCACAAAATTGATCATTTTGACCTCTGTTGAGGACAGAGTCTCTTTGAAAAGGAAAGGATTAAGGACAAATAGATGGGCAGATGGACGAAATAGGATGTTGACAAGGGGTGCAGCTCAAAAACTTCAGCCTCCATTATGCACAAAAAAGGACCAATGAGTGGGAAGCAAAGGAGTTTCTAAGCTATGGGAAGTTCTGCCCTCAGATTTCACCCCACACAATGATGAAAAGTCCGAGTTTGCACAGGGAACTGGAGGTACTGCAGAGGCCTGAAGCATCCTGGGGAGCACGCAGAACCCTGATCCCAGTGAAAGCAGTGATAAGACATGTACAAAGGCTGTGATGAGAACCACACATTTTGATGTTTACTATGAATGTTGGGTTGAAAACAGACTTCTGCCACTGAAAAAAGTCATGAGACCAATACATTATTGCCTTATTAGTAAGAGAGCTTGGCCAGGCCTTTTATAAAGTGCTCTGCACAAAACCTTAAAAATACACTGTAGTAGTTGCCTACCTTCAGCTGAGAGTTCTGATGTGCAGTAAGGTGGACCCCGAGCAACCACTTCTTGTAGGATGATTGCAAAGCTGTAAATGTCCCCTTTGATTGTGCCTTTTCTGCGCATATCTGGGTCCCTCAGTAACTCAGGAGCTGTCCAGAGCAATTCTAAAAAAATTAGAGAGCATCACATTTCTTACACTTTAGCTCAGACTATTGTAAAGCAAGTGCTTAAATGAATATTTTATTCAGTCATTTGATGAAAGGTTGGAAAATACTATATAATATACTAAATCAAATATTTTACTTCTAGTGGTGTGTTAAAAATACTAAACTTCTGCACTGAAAAAAAAAAAAATTTCCCAAGTTTTTTTAAAAACTGCCACACCAACAATTTGTATCATATAACACCAGCCATGAACTTCAACATAAGAAGTCATCTCACCCCTGCCAGAAGCTTTCACATCATTTTTTTTAATTGAAAGTGTTCCTGAGACAAAATATTGGCATAAAATCTGGAATTTCTTGTTGCCTCTTGTTGCAACAGTTGTTGCTCTTTTACAAAACAACAATTAACAACATATTTTCTGTAGTTCTTTTTAGATGAAAATAGTTTCTGTAAAAGCAGTTTGTGACAATCTGATGCACAGTCTTTACAATCCAATAGTTCAAATGACAAAAGACACAGTTGTAAAATATATCTAGCTTCATGAAGAAATGAATCTTCAAACTGAGATTTTGTTACCCTGGTAACTGTGCATTCTGAGTAATGGGGATATGGAACATCTCTGCCACTGCAAATGTGTTTGTCTTCTGTAATGGAGGAAAAGAAAGTCTTCTGTCTGACAGCTGCCCTATCTGAGACACTGAAAAGGTGTAAACATCAAATCCCATGACAGAGGGATCAAACTATGAAATGCTATTGTAAAACAGGTTTCAAGAATAAATTGGAATACCAGAGGAACCCCAAAACAATGGCCACATGAAAGAAATCTTGTCCAAGTTTCCAAACCTGGTCCCATGAGGGCAATTCTTACATGGTGGGAATATCATGTGACAGCCTTTGGTGACTGGCATGTAGAGGACCTCTTTCAAAGAGACCTACATAATTTTGTGGTTTAGATGACTTATTTTAACAAGAAAAACAGTCTTTTCATTTGGGATAACATAAAACTCTACATATAGGATTGGGTCTAAGGATGTGAAGCCATTCTACTGGCTACATTTCTACAGAAATTCAGTGCTGATAAGATTTCAGGGACAATTCAGTCCTTCTGCAACTACAATGAGCTGAAGTTCTGTCACTGCTTACAGTAAAATGTATTTTCTCTACCACATTACTCTGCTATTCGCTTCACTTTCAGGCAGTCTGAGAAAACCTTTGCTTACTCTTTCTTATAACAATGCGTGGTATGGAGGAAACAAGATGTAGTGAGATTGAGCATGAAAAGCCTTGTGTGGCCACTGGTCTGCAATTGTATTAGGACAAAAATCTGTTAAACCAATGGACAAATGTTTAAAAAAAAAAAAAATTCTTCATCACACCTACCTTCTGGGGATGGCTGAATATAGGGGCATTTCTGTGCCTCTAAGATCTCATTGTAACCATAGTCAGTGATCTTCAGAACAAACCGACCATCCACAACACAGTTACGAGACTTGAGACGTCCATGGGCAAAATCTCGGTGATGCAAATATCTGATTCCCTATAAAACACAGAAGAAATCCAAGACTGATCCTTAACAATTATCTTATCCATCAGCACTCAGAGACACCAAGCCAATTTGTCACCTCAGATGGCATTAAATGCAGCATTGACTCTATGTCAAATGCAGTAATGATTGAAACAACGAACTATGAGAGAAGTTTAGAAATGGATTAGGCACATGAAATAGGTTTGTCTGGACCCTAAAGCAGTAAAGGTCTGACAACTTCAGGAAGAGTCAGATGCCTCCTTCTGTAGCCCTACGTCTCACTGCACCCAGAAGTTCTGCTTTTAGGCAAGGATAAGAAAGGGGACACAAGTGTTACTAAATGTTTAGGTCAGAGGAAGTCACGAAGAGCTGGGTGCCACTACCCATCTCCGCCAAGGAGGTTCAGAAGGCGGATCACAGACTACAAGAATGGTTCTGGTGGTCTACTCTCTGGAATCCACCTGTCCCAGATTAGTAGTTCACCATCAAGACATGAGAACATGGAAGTGTGAATGCTGCTAAAGGGACCATATGTGCAGCTATCCTGTGTCAGGGGATGGATACTGTTTGGTTCTCTGGTGGATGCATTTCTGATTTACGACAAGAAAGGGCCTTTGCAAAAAAAATAAAATTGTCACAAAATTCTGTTCTAGGTGATCAGTTGCAGCCTGATACATAGTTTTAGCCTCTTGCCCTACTGTGTGGTTGTAGTTCTATTACCCCAAATGGTGCTTCTCTCAGATGGAAACAAAATAAGGATAAGGAGTCTCATTTAAAGACCGATACAATTACATCCAGATTTGTTTTCGCTGTGTTATCATAAAAAACCCAACATTCTGATTCAAATATCTTAGTCATCATAGAAGTCCCCTTCAGATCATGCCTCAGCAGGAGCAATGGATTTACTTTAATTAGATCCATCACAAGAGAGGACTTGAACATCCAGTCCAGTTTCATATCCTCATTTCTCAGCAAGTCCTCCAAGCTGCCTCGTGAGCAGTACTCAGTCACGATGGCAAAGATGCCACAGTCTGAGAAAAAGCCCAGGAACAGATTCACATTTTCATGACGCAGATCCTTCATCTGAAACAAGACAGTGAATCAAAGTGAGACGAGGTCAGCCAGGCATCTGCTTGGTAGCTTCTTGGTATCACTAGATGCTCCCTTCACACTTGTACTCCCAAACAGCCTTCCACAAAAAGATGGGGACACAAACAACCTCTCTGGTACTTATTTTTGATTACTCAACACTCTTTTCAAACTTTGTTTTCCTTAGTCTATCCATTATACACGGAAAGCAAGATAGCAAAAGCAAACTAAACAGAAGTTTGTGTTTTGTTTAGACAAACTATATTGAATCTTTCACTAGGCCAGAATGGCTTTGCTGGGTAGATTGAGTTCAGCATGTGGATCTTGCTCTGAACTGGAAAAAATACCATACCTAGAGAGTCCAAAGTTATCTATCAATGGTGTCTTTGGAGACATGCCCTGGTAAATTTGTTTCTTTTACACATGTAAAAATGCCACTGCTATGTTAGTAATAGCTGTCGACAACTAATGCCCTTGAATTTGAAAAACAAGTATGCTTTATTGTCATTTGTAACAATAAAATTTAAAACCAAAATTAAGCATCTGAGAGGCATCTTAGGTGGAAACACAAAGCAAACATTGGAGAAATGCACAACTGTGTCTGTGTCACACTGTTAACATATAATACATGAAAATATCTACCAGTGTCTCACACTATGGAGGGATGAGTTCCCCAAACCACCCTGCCTTTGCAGGCAAGGTCACTTGAAGGATTCATTGTACATTTAACACTGCACCAGCTTGGAAGTGGCAGGTCTGGGATGGGGTTTTACAAGCTGCTGACTGACATATGGATCTGTGATAAATTTGTCAGATGCAGTTGTGCATGGTCCACTCTGCCACATTTCACCAGACAAGACTCATTGGCAACCACAATGCATGATTTAATGGATAGACATGAGACAAGGGCAACAAACACACCCTGAAGCCAAAACCACCCCCTGAGAAACCTTCCCCCACATATCATCATCCCCTATCCCTACCTTCCTTAAGATGTTGGTGGAGCTTTGCCTCAGATTGTGAACTGCTCCTGTCTCAAATTTTTTCAGCCACACCTGGTCTCCCTGTCCACAATCACAGAATCAGAGAACAGTTAAGGCTGGAAGAAACCAGTGATGGACCATCTAGTCCAACCTCCCCTCTTAAGAAGGGTTATCCTAGGGCACATGACACAGGAGCGTGTCCAGGCAGTTCTTGAATATCTCCAGTGAGGGAGACTTGACATACTCCCTGAAAAATCTGTTTCAGTTCTTGGTCACCTGTACAGCAAGGGTCTTCCTCATGTTCAGGTGGAACTTCCTGTCCGTCAGTTTCTGCCTTTTGCCTCTAGTCAACTGAGAAGAACCTGGCTCTGTCCTCTTGACACCCTCCCTTCAGATATTTATAGACATCAGTGAGGTGCTCTCTCATTTTTCTCTTGTTGAGGCTGAACAGGCCCAATGCCCTCAACCTTTCCTCTTGAGAGAGAAGGTCCAGTCCCCTAATCCCAACACAGGTGGGTGACTTACAGAGCAAGTCTCTGAGCAGCAGATAACATTGGGATCCAAATCTGAATTTCAGATCCTTGACTTGGAAAGTGGCTGGGGATTTTTAATGTTCTTGGCAACAGATTGTTTATATACGGAACTCAAATAAGAAGATCCACAGCAAACCTTGAAAAAGGGGTGAGGCAGAACCTTCACCTGGATCACAGCTTCATGCCTGTAAGGTTTCTTAGTATCTGATAAACAGCAATAAATTGACTAAAAAGGAAAACAACTCTGACCAGAGCTTTTCTCTGGCATTAATGATTGACCACCTCTTCAGGAAAAGTAACCAATTTATTTTGGACCTCTTCAGGAAAAGTAACCATGCCATTTTTTTCAAAAAGCTGCATTTTCGGGAAAAACCTGATGGATGGGGTGAGTTTTCTTGGCTATTGCCTCTGCGTAAGCTCCATGCAGTCCTATTCTCACAAAGGGGAATTTGAGCGTCCATTTGTATATTTGGATCCTGTCTTGCAATTAAGTTCCTTATTAGACATATCACCAAATAAAGACTGTCTTGTAAGAAAGGTTATTTATGGTGCCACCACCTTAGGTGGTGACTTCTCTGACAGGACCAGACTGGCAGTGTTACATGTGTTTGTTGAATTTTCCCATCCCACATGACTCCAAGTGTCAGGGTGAGGGCTGGGACAGATTTGCCTTAAACACTGCTAAGTCTGTGCTTGGGAGCAACTTATTTTCATACTTAGGGTTTGTTCAAACTATCTCCATCCTGGGACCTAGTACTGCAGCCAAATACTTTTCCCTCTGGAGCAGTCCAGTGAACAGTAGCAGTGAGAGAAGGCTGCATGAGGTTCCTACCTACCTCATACAAAGCCACATTGGAGGTTTCATGGGTGGCAACTGTGCTTTTCAAGGAAGCGGAGCGGGTTACGGATATCAGGCTTCTGTTCTTGGCTGCTATGCTGTTTGTATCAGTCAGACTGTCCAAGGTCAGCCTCTGGAAGGCAAGGAAAGCAGGTGCTAGGCAGCTACCATCTTCAGGTGTAAACCTCCACTCCAGCTCTGCCCTGCAGTGTGGCTTTCTGGGTAGGGAAATAATGGGAGTGTTCCCTAGCAGATCACCAGCTCTGGGTATGAGCCAGGATGGACCTGGAATGGTTCCCAGTATATTTTAATGCAGACACTTTATTTTAAAAGGTAAGATGGTTTATCTTTCTTGGGAATGCCCTGTGGTACACTATCCAACCTCAAGAACAAGGAATAAGCCCTAGCAGCTAGAAGAAACACAACCAAGGCTACAATTTTGCACCATCATAAAGGCTCTGACATCTAATCTGAGACTAAAAGCACTCAGCATATGGGAAATTTTCTAATGTGCAGGGGAAAATGACATGAAGAAGTGAAATGACCCTTCCAGAACTTTATGAGTATGAAAATATCAGACAGCATATCTGTTCTAGAGTGTTCCACCGGATTCCTTTCATGAATAGAAGGACTCACCTTTCTATGTAGCTCTGGGTTGATGAAGACAAGGTCATCCAAGGTCAGTATGATCTTGTTCGGACCCCTGAAAAGCTGGTTGTTCAAGATACTCTGCCTGCAAGAGTTGGAAAGCCATGGTTATCAATTTTAGGTAGTGTGTTGGGTCTGACCAAGGTAACATTTACAGCCCTTACAGTGCTGTGCTTTGCATTGGTAGCTGAATGGATGTTGATAACAGACCAATGTTTTGGCTACGGACGAGCAGCATGTCCTTCTGACATTCCTTCCCCTCACCAAAGGGGATGGGAGTGGGCAAGATCCTGGGAGGGCACACAACCAGGGCAGCTGACCCAAATTAGCCAAAGGAATATTCCATACCACATGACATCAGCTCAGATACATAAGCTAAGGGAGAGAGGAGGAAGGGGGACATTTGTGAGTTTTCAGTGTTTGCCTTCTGAAGGAACCATTATGCATGCTGAAGCCCTGCTTCCCAGGAAGTGTCCAAACATTGCTGCTTATGGGAAGTAGAGACTGATCTGTTTCCCCTGTAGCTCTTGTGAGTGCAGATCTCTGCTTGTTTATTTGTTTTTGCTGTAATAAAACTGCCTTTTCTCACCCTGCTGGTCATTCTCCATCTTATTCTCTCCCCTGTTCCAGTGACAAAGGGAGTGATAAAGCAACTGAGTGGGCACCTGGTACCCAGCCAGAGTCAACCTGCTACAGGTAGGTAGCCAGTTTACACCTCCTCTGAATTCCTCACACCTGGCTTCCCTGCTCTATTGGACCCTGCCTGCATTCAACTCTGAGGCCCCTGACTTAGGAAGGTCATGGACCTATTGGAGCAGGTGCAGAGAAGGCCATGAAGATGATCAGAGTGCTGGAGCACCTCTGTTGTGGAGACAAGCTGAGAGAGCTGGGGCTGCTCAGAAGAAGGCTTTGGGGATTCCTTAGAACCCCTTCCAGTGCCTAAGGAGAGGAGCTACAAGAGAGCTGGAGAGGGACTTTTGACAGGAGTGACAGGACAAGGGGGGATGGCTTCCAACCGAAAGAGTGCAGGTTTAGATTATATATTAGGAAGCAATAATTTTCTGTGATGATGCGGAGGCACTGGCAGAGGTTACCCAGAGACACTGTGCCAGCCCCACCCATGGAAGTGCTCAAAGCCAGGTTGAATGGGGCTCTGAGCAGCCTGGTGTAGCTGAAGGTGTCCTTGCCCATGGCAGAGTGGTTGGAACCACAGGATCTTTAAGGTCTAAAATAGTGTGGGAGTGGGAACGGGTGTTGGTGAAAGCAGTGGACAAATCACAATGCCTTGGCTTGGACTTAAATCCCAAATAATGAATTACCCATTTCAACATGGATAGCAACAAAAGCTATCATCTCAAAGGGTCTTATCACAAATAGGCAACTGGATTGAATTTACTTCCAAATATTAATTGGATGTGTATGTAAGCCATATTTTGTTTTGCTCACTTTTATTTGCCATATCCCAAATCATTCTCCATTAGGAGGCAAAACCAAGTTTTATTAGTCCAACTGGTCTGGTCATGAGCAAACCACATTTAGGCACACCAGCCCTTCTTAGGGACTGAAACTGAAGTGTAGTTAATTTATAAGTGTAGTTAATTTATAAGAGCTGCCTGCACACAATTTACTGTCTAAACCTGCATGTAGCATGGTGCATTTTAAAGCACAGAGCAAGATGTGCCCTTGTAATGGTCACAGGTTTGTACAGAGGCAAAAGCTGCAAGGATGAGCAGTATGGCACATGTGACATCACATCACATCATTTTGATCCCATTGTTTCAATGGGATCATTGTTTCAGGGTATAACACTGAGCACAAAGCAGCAGTATCTACTAGACAGACAAAACCTCTCAACCAGGAGCAGAAAAGGGAAGGGAAGTCTCCTTCAATGCCACTTCTTTTGTTTAAGGAATTTTGTTAACAGTACAGCAGATGACTGATCTGCACTCTCCTAAGTGTTTCCCTGATGAAGTGGACGATAGGGATTACTTTTGTTGATGTTACTGTAGAAGGACACCACCACATAAAACAACCCCAAATCACCATAATTCACTTTTCCTCTCAATGTATCATTCTGGACATTTTAGAGGAGCACAGGCAGCTTTTTGAAGCTCAGAGGAAGCCTTGGCCACATAACCACAGGCTTTACTTGGGATGACATTTCTCTAAGCACACTGTCCTAAGCCACCCAACTCATCTCCATGAAAAAAATCACCACTTATGTACCTTTCACAAGTCCATCTGAAAAACCTTGCTCGATAAATCACATCCTCTCTCTAAGCAGGGAGGAAAGCATCCCTCTGCCAAAATCTAAGCAGAGAGAGTGGAGTGACTCATTTAAGGTCATGCAGCAGATCCCTGACAGAGCTAAGACCAGAGCTTCCACATTTCAACTCAGACCATGCTGTGGTTTAAATTTAGTTCCAGACATGCCCCTTCCTAATATAAATTACTGTCTGAGTCATACTGGACTTTTTCTTCCCTAGCAGATGGCCATACATCTTTTCTCATGACCAAGCTTTCCCAAGCACAGCCTGGTGCTTGTGGAAGAGCTTACAAATAGAGTAGGCAGAAAGATTATTGTTTATTTACTTAATTGTGGAGGCTGGTGGCCAGGGAACAGAGCAGGGTTTCAAAGAGTGGGTGGGTGGAGGCAACCTCATCAGTGTCTGCAGCTCTATCAGAAGCAGCTGTGAAAGCGGGGGAGCTGTTTGGGGTGTTCCTTGCTGGGTGGCCCTTACATCTGGGTTTGGAGGGATGATTCAGGAGTGGAGACAAAACATATCTCAGAATTATTTCAGAGGCAAAGTTGGAGGGAACAATCTAGGAACTCTGCTCTGCTGAAGTCATTGCTCCTCAGTAAATATGCCTTCTAATTTCAGTCTATTTTCACTCTAAGTTCGGTGATGTGGACATCAATAATTAGAGACAAACTACTTCAGGGGCTATAGTGACCTTGCCAAGAGCAATACATAGCTCCTGGACCAACCAATCCATTCTGGCACATTTCTACCTTGTATATAGAGTTGGGACACAGATGTGACATGCAATTATGGGAAATTATTCTTTCCCCAGAACACTACTGCCTTTACTCCAAAGATCTCATGCCCAGACCAACACATATATAATGGGAATGACCTGGGAGCTGAGCCCCAGGTCCAAACAGCAAGTGAATCAACTTGATAATAAAGATGTACCCTAAATATATGCTTCAAATTCTCTCCAGTGGTATTTTCTTTCTTTTTAGTACATGAAGAAAATGCAGAGGGTCAGCCTCACATGTTTCATAGGAAACATGTTTATATTAAAGACAGAAATTCAGGAAAGAATGATCTGGAGTCAGAAAATTACTTGGTTTCAACCCTTGTGTTCTCATAACAGATTCCTGTCTTTGGTTTAGATGACATCCTTTGCACTTCTAAAGTGATAACCACCTTCCTAATGCTTCAGAAACATCCAGCAGACTGCTGGAGCAGTGGAAGGGTGTGAGGACCCTTTCCTTCAGGAGGAAGGAGCAGCAGAAGCAATGTGGTATGAACTGACTGCAGTCCCCATTCCCTGGCCCCTGTGCCACTTGTGGGAAGGAAGTAGAGAATTTGAGAGTAAGTTAAACCTGGGAAGAAGATGTTTTTAAGATTTTGTTTTATTTCTCATTATCTTACTCTGATTTGATTGATAATAAATTTAATTTCCCCACATCAAGTCCATTTTGGCTCTTGTGGCAATTGGTGAATGATCCCTTCCTGACCCCATCTTGACCCATGAACCTTTTGCTGTATTTCCTCTCCCCTGTCCAGCTGATGAAGGGAGAGATAGAATGCCTTTGGTGGATGCCTGGCATGCTGCCAGGGCCAACACACCACAAATGTGAAGACATACGTGTCTGGAGAGCCAAGAGCAAAATCAGACCCTCTGAGTGTGCACAGTCTAAACTGCTGGCTAAAGCAAAAGCCTCACACAACAAAAGTTGCACCAACTCAAATACGTGTTGCAATTCTCACCTGATGAGAGAAGCCAGGCCCACAGCACACAACACCAGGACAAATAAAAGCATTACTCCCAAGAAAATTACTGCAGGCTCAATCCCTGTGCAAAGATGGGAAGAGGATCAGCGAATTAGAAAATCATTTTGATTTAGGCAATAATATTAAAAACATCAATATCAGGCCATTGGATTACAAAGTCAAATATACAACCAGGAGAATTCCAGAAGACAATTTCAATGCAATGTTTGTTTACGAATACACAAATACTTACTAACTTGGCATGCCTAAGATTTCAGCTATGCTAATTATTTATTTCCATGCACTTTCTTTTTCCTAAACCAGACTTAGAGCTCTGGACCAATGGAAAAATAGTTTTTTCTTCAAGTAAATAAAAAGACTCACAGAGAAGTATTACATTTTAGAGGAAGCTTCTGCAAAGTTCATAACTTTTTAACATTTGGCCCTTTTCTCTTGAGGAACTGAAATGCTGAAAAGTCTTTATCATGTGGTACCAAAGTGACAGCCAGGGTGAGTCACTGGCCCATCTGGGCTTTTTCATTCTCTGCTGCAGATTTCTCATGCTGAAAAGAGAAGAAGAGGAGGAGCAGCAGAAGGTTGATGTTTTCCTCAACACATCCATCAGCAGAAAGTACTGGAGACAGATTCTTTGCTGATGAGTGTGTTTACTAGAGAGCTAAGGGAAGCTGATATGATTGCATAAGCTAAATTCCAGTGGGAACTGTTTCCTGGGTCTGTCTCTTCTGTTTTGTAATTTTTCTTTTTATTCTGTTTGTATCCAGAGATCTATAAACACAAATCAACATGGAGAAATTTGGGTTGATGGAAGGCTCATGATTTTTATGTTACACTGGCACCTATCTGCAAGCACTGAGACCTAGAGCTTTCCAGTAAAAGCTGAAGGCATTTTTGAAAATTGGTATTTGTTTCAGGAAAAGTCAGAGCATTTTAGCTGAAATTTCACTGCTTCAGTCTAGGGCCCCAGGCCCTGACTGTCCTCACACAAACACAGGAAGAGGTTGCCCATGAAAGCTGTGGCCACCCCATCCCTGGCAGTGTTCAAAATCAGGCTCCATGAGGCTTTAACCAACCTGGTCTAGTGTGGGATTGGAATAGATGGACGGCCTTGAAAGGTCCCTCCCAAGCCATACTATACTTCACAACTAACCAGAAGTGAAAGTAACCTAATCATGAGCTTGTGGGAAAGAGCAAACATACAGCATGCTTGAGGGAACTTACAGGATTGAGTTAAAGTCATTAGGAGATGCTTTAATTGAACTGGGAGTACATGAAACCTCTTACAGGATCTTTAAGAGGATGTGCAAACATGGGTGAAGGGAGAGATAGAATGGGTCAGGAATGCTCAAGTATGTGAGAGGATGGGGGTGCTGGTCACACATAAACATGTTGTGCATCTTTTGCAGGCACTTGATCAGTGCAGTCATTCTCACCCTCTTAACCCCATCTACATTTTTTCCTAGGTAATCTGGGCTCTCTGACTGTGTATGACATTTACAGACTTTACATCAACCTAACTAACAGGGAAGGTATGTCCTGGACGCTTCAACCCCTGAGAAACTGCAAGTCTGAAGTCTGCTCCTGCAGAGACTGAAGGGTTTGAGGGATGGCTATGGGGGAATTTAGGTTTGGACCATCTACCAGAGGATTCATTTGTGAGTCTGAAGGAGTTGAGGCTGTGAGATCTGGTATCAAGCTTGGAGCCTAATTATGAGGTGTACCAAAGCAGCACCAGGCCATTTCTGATGTCCGTGTCCCAGCAGTGCTGGTTGTGGGTAGTGGTGCCTGTAAAGACATAACTCTCCTGTATGTGTTACTCTGCCAATGCCTGGCTGTGTCTGCAGTGTGTGTGTGTGTCCATGTCCTGGGAACACCAGCTCAGCCCTGCTCCTGGTGAACCTGGAGTTAGGAAAAACAGCAGCCTGACAACTTCACATCTTACAGCCCTCCAAGGCCAACTTCATATAAAAGATAAAGTGAGGCTTGTATTTAATTCTAGCCATAAAGTTCAGTCTCTGAAATTCTAGCAATCATAATAAATTACTTTTTAATTGACAGATGCCTAAATCTTTATGCCTTTGTAAAGGTATGAACATAAAATCCAATATCTCTAAAAATCAGTGGGATTTTTCCATAGACTGCAATGAGATGTTAAATTGCTGCATTGTTCCTCGGGACAGTGCAAAATTAGATACATGATAGTATTATACTTATCTCTTCTACTGCTTGCCAGTTGCTACGAGATCAGCACATCTCTCCTTTTCATAGAGTGACACTGATTTATGTGTCAGCTCAGTTATGGCTAAACCAAGGAGAATGGTTTTCTTAGCTACTGAATGAAATATTCCATAGATGTTGTTAATTTCATCTGTTAAAGACATAACCTGGAGCAATAGGTGTAAATGCTTAGTATTTTAAGTAAATATATCAAGAGTAGATTAAGTACTCTACCCTGAGATTTTGGCTTCCCTGTGAACTTTAAAACGGCACAATAGTTGCCTCAATTTAAAAACAATAGGTAAACCCATTGCCCAGTCTGACAAACCTAGGAAGCAGCACAGATATCTCTGCCCCCAGGCTTTGATTACTACCTCTGTTATCTATAATAACTCAAATTATTTTGAGTAATGATTATAATTTTTTCTCAATGAGATGAGTTCTGATGGTCCTTCACTCCTCATTGCTACCTGAATAAAGAAGCAGGGGTGAACAGGCAGGATGCTGAAAGCATCTGCTCTTGTGCAGCTCTCTTAGGCTGCCTTCAAGGCAAATCCTCTTAGTGCCATGTCTCCCAGAAGGACAGAGACACAGTGCCGGGTGCAGCCTCTGTTATATAATGGTTACTATTAATATTGGCAGGTGATGAGTGTTAGACCCAGAAAACCCTTTCAACACATAACAGTGGTAACAACTTTTTTGGCCCAGGAGAGTGGTGGGATTAATGGCTCTGGAATTGTTGAAAAAATTGTGTAGATGTGATATTTAGTGGTGGGATTGGCAGTGGTGGGGTAAGGATTCAATGATCCTAGAGGTTTTATCCAATCATAATGATTCTATTATTCTATGATCTAACAAGCAATAAGAGAATATTGTGGATCAATGGTGTTACCTCTGCACAGGATTCCCATTCTAAACAGTGTGATGACTGGGCATTTTTATACCACATCCTTGAAATTAGACTTTTCTGGTTGGGGAGTTCTAATTTATAGGCATAACCACTTGGAGTGAGTGAAAAGATGAAAGAAAAGAGAAGCATGAACTCAATGCCATTTCACCCTATTTTTGGTTCTTTTTTTCTTTCTTACCTTCAGTGCAGAGAACATCTGGATCAAACCAACAGCTGGAGTCTGGTTTGGGTGGAACTTCATTGGGAAAGTGGATGGCCTGGCCTAGGGGCAGCACAGAGCCTGAAGACATGTCCAGCAGGTGGGTTGGGAAAAGCTGGTTCCCATGACCATCTGTATCCAGTATCACATAGTTGTTCAGCCCCTTCCCACAGCTGTCTGTCTCTACCTGGTGACTAAATCCAGGGAAGCTGAAGTTTTTTGTGTACTCAGCTATGTTGGCTCCTGAGGCCCTGACTCCTTTCTTCCGTGCACTGTCCATAGCCATTGCCATGAAGTAAATGGCATCATAGATTGTTCCAAAAAGTGGAGAAACCTAAAAATACAGGAGAAATTGAGGATAAACATCTCCCAACCTTCAGTTTGAGACTGGTGGCAAAAATATTTTCCCCCTGGCTAAGTTGTGAACTTAAATACTGAGACTCAAGAACATTAAGGCTCACAGAGTAATGGGTTTGAGGAATCTTAGGTTGAAGGTAGACCCAATATATGCATTACTCTGAATATCTGTCTTTTCTTATGGTGGATTCACAAAATGCAATTGCAAAATATTTTTAAAACCACACAAAATTGCATTATGATGGAAAAAGCCAAGATTCTGAGCCTGATGTTTGGCTGAAATGTATCACAAATTTATCCTGCTGCAAAACGCCAAAATATCTTCTACAAATAGAAGATCAAGGTCAGAGGCTCCATATCAAGACAGGAAAAGTGTGTCATGCCCAAGGAACTGATCTTCTTTGTCAGATTATTTATCCTAAAGATGCAAAGAATCCCACAGATTTTGCAGAGCCACAGCAAACTTATTCTGTGGGGTAACAGAGCCTTTTCTGTTTGCATTGCTCCCTTCTGTGCCAGACTTGATTTAGGAAGCTTTAATACAAATGGTGACTTTTGCAATCACATGGTCATTCACAGCTGGTAGGTGAAGAGAGAGATTTTAGCCATAGCCAAGTGAGAAAAATGAGGAGTGCCCTTGGGAGCCACAGAATCTGACATTTGTGAGATTAATTGATTGGATGTAGATATCTGAAATGAAGAACCTGACAGTCAATACAGTTAACCTGGGCTCTCATTAAAGTGAAGGGGAAGAAATTAATGCTATCAAGACATGATTCATCTCCTTCTAAAGTATATCTGTACAGATCTGATAAATTATGCCTTAAAAGTACTTGTAATTTTTTGAAATGTCATAAGGAGATTTGAAGAATAGCTCATCTGACTCATGTATCTCTTCACCAGTATAAGATTCTCCAATTTTTGTAAATGTTCTCAAGGTAAAAACTGATTTGGTTTTTAATAGCCTACCAGTGACTTTCAGATAATCAAGCTGACAAAGAATTACCTTGACTATAGTGCTAAAACAATGCAGCAGCAATGGTCTTAAATATTTCCCTCTAGAAGCATCCAGTATTTCTTTAGTCTGTCTCATCCCCTCAAATTGTCAGTCATATGGACATCTTGATTCCTTACAAACTCCATAGACTTAATCTACCTTAAGAAATACCTTTTCAATTCAAGTCCATTGCAGCTAGCACACAGCAAACCAAATCTGAGAGCCTCTGACACAGGCCCTTTCTCTTAAATTCCCATAATGGTCCTACAGGTCAACCAAGTGAGTAATATTGCCAGGCATCTGGGAAAAGTGACCTTTCCAGATGAGTGCAGACCACATTCAAATTTCTCTGTATTTTTCTCAAAATGAAAGTGTGCAGTCTGGATTGACTCTTTCCTGTATTTTTTTGTAACTATTGTTATGTTTCCTATTGACAGGTCCCAGGAAATCCCAGGAGAAAGAATATTTACCTGTGTGGCTTCCAAGTCCCTGATAATTTCACCACTTTCTTTAGCTTCCCTGAATGCGTCATAGAAAGTCCTTTCTCCAGACTCCAGCGTGATGGTCAGCACAGCATCATAAGCCTCCCGGAGCTTGCTGTCATTATCAAAGACACTGAATGAGTTGTTTTGGTAAGGAAGACTGTACAGCAAAGTGTCATAGGGAACAAAGATGTATCTTCCATCTGCTAGTCCCATTTCCAGAGCTTTTGTGAGTAAGGCTGCCTGTTCCTGCCCTCCGATGAGAACAGAATGCATGCACAGGAGTATAACTGCAACACAAGGACAGTGGAGAGTGTTAGTAATCTGCCTGGAGCTTTCAACATGAAATAGGTCTTTCCCCCCACTCCCTCCCCCCCCCAATAAAAGAGCTGCCTGAACTACTGTATCAGGTCAGATTCTGATGTTATGTGCTGAGGAAGCTGAGAGTCACACCCGTTTTGTTCAGCCTCTGGAGTAACACCTAATAAAGGAGGTTGTGGGTGTTAACCATTTCTGGAGCTGTAAAGAGGGAATGAAGTTTTGACAGAAGTGAGGCACAGTTGGGCAGTTGTGGTCATTGTTGTCATTGACCAAGACTTGAGCTTTTACTCTGTGTGCCCTGAGCTGACAGACACCACACCGCTGTAAGCAGTGCCCAACCTCCAAATGCTCACGCTACTACCAAATATACAAATTTTAAGCTGACACAATGGGGCTATGTTTAAACATCTGGTCCATGCTTGACTGTCCCAAAGTCTGTGCCTTTTCTTGCAAAATGTCATGGGGCCAGTGTTTGGTGGGGAGATCTGAAATACAGGACACAGGATCAAAGCAAGATTTTTGATATTGATATTGATTTTTGATATTCCACAATATAAATCACCTTTAATATAAAACCTTCCTATAAACTCCTCTTTACTCAAGCCAAGCACAGAAAACCATCTACGAAATATTTTTTTCTTCAGACAAGTTGGACCCAATCTTTCAGGTTGTAGTAGATGATTTTGGTCTATATTCATCACATACAAAAATGCCCAGCATTCTTTTATGTTAAACCCTGTATGCATTAGGATCAGAGATAAAATTCTGCTTGACTTAAATCACTTTAAGTTTTCATTCTACACAGTATGTCTATTGGGTAACAATGCAATCCTACCCTGGGGAAACAAAAAAAATTTAAAAACAGGAATGACACTCAAAGCACTTACTTTTAATGTTATTAACTTTTTTAATCTCATTCCAGGTGTCTTCAATGCCTTTTTCTCCCTTATGCACGGATGTAACAATGCCTACAGGTAGCCCGTGATTCCTGAGGGCAGTTGCTGACTCCTTGGCTGTGTACATCCAAATATCATCAGTGGATGCAATGATGCCAACATGAGCCCACTTAAAATATTTCATTATTGTAAGCAAAATTTGGGTTGGAGAGGGCAGAGTTCTTGCAAATGCATTATGGCGGATGGTGGAATCCAGCTTATAATTGATGCACATCCATGAGAAGATAGCTTTATCCCAGTTTTTCCCTAAATGTGCAGCCACCTCACAGAATCCAGGGTTTAGAGGGCCTATAAAAGCTGAGGAAAGTTTTTCAAAATCAACAAATCTAACCAGAGCTCTTGGAGTCTCACATTCTTCTTGCAGGATCACATAATCCAACCGGTGGCCAAGATCTAGTGAAGGGTCTCTGCTTATTCGTCCCACAGCTAACCTGGCAGCCACATGGGGAAATGCTTTGGAAAAGAAGGGGTCACAGTTCCAGGGTCCAAACAGTCCAATTTTAAAGACAGAGCAATGTGCAGGGGAACAAAGTAGGATTATTCCAAAGAGCACCCACCAGAGATCCTGGAAAAATGTCTTGAATGAATTTTCAGTGAAGTGATGCTCTCTGATGTGCCTCAACAGCACCCAGGGGGAGCTGTGAGGACCCCACAGGAGAAATGACATTGTTTCACAGGTGGGTAGATCTGCACCAAGCTCTTCAGGAATCCAGGCAGAGCATTACCAGCTGCTGGAAGGAAAGCAGATTACGTTTGCCGTTCACCATATGTGTTTGTTCCATGCATCTATGTACAGCTGAGTCAGCCCAAACTTCACAACAGCTCTCAAGGCACAAGTCTTTGAGGAGCCAAACCCACACACAGACACATGGACTTGGACCACATCAGCCCCCTCACCATGCAGAAAATTGTCCAACCAGTGTCAGACGTGCATTTAACCCTTAAATGCACACTTACATAAACATTTTCATATGCTTTGCAATATACTCTGAAACCAGGCAGTGAAGAATGAGGCTGCTTTGTTTGCAGCAGTAAGTACAACCTGTGGGTACACTGTGCTTCTGGCTCCTAAGAAAGACAAAGTCACACAGAAAAACACCCATATTAGAAAACTAAAAGGTGAAATCAGCTAGGCCATCAGCTTCTGTCAAAAATCCTCAGTGGGTTGTAAACATGAATCAGAACCCATACAAAGACAAAAACACACACACACACATATGTAGACACATATATTCATATACTTAGAGATACGTATGTATGCGCATACAATTTTAAAACTCTCTGGAAAAAAAATTCAAGGACAACTCAGAGTCTCTTAAATCTGGCAAATTGAAAAGTGGATAAACAGATAATCAGAAAATGATGGGAAAGGAGGATTATGATATGAATTTAGATAAAGAACTGCTAAATAACTGTCCGGTCAAAAGTCTTGTGTATACTCTTGGCTTCAAATATTCTTGGTTAAATACTAGGAGCCATAGGGTTGCTTGGGTTTTTTTTTTTTTTAATAACAATTTCCTCCTTCACAGCCAAGCACAGAAATACCAAAGCCATAGCAAGCTCTCCTCCATCTGCAGTGTCAACCCATGGCTTAGAAAACTTTGCTGATCCCAGCAAGTTTGTGCTCTAAAAATAGCAGGCCCCTTATTCCAGCTTACCTGTTCATTTCTGGAAAAGTATTTTTATCCTGGATGCTGAGGCACCAGGACATGCAGCACAGAGCACCGCAGCGCAGCATGTCCCTGATGGAGGGAGACCTCCAGGAAGAAGCCACAGCAGAGTAGCCTCCCTCCAGAGTCAGTGGCCGTCCTTGGATATGGGTACCACCATGAGGATGGGCAATTCACGGTCAGCTTCCTCTGCTTTGGTGCCCACCTCCTTCAAATTCTTGTGTGCACAGGCCATTCCAGCTGTGTGGGTGCTCTGGGATCCTCCGTGCCTTGTCAAAATCTTCCTGTGTCCCTTTTGGTGAGGGCCATTCCTCTCCTGAGGGTTTCAGAGCTTGGGCTATAACCTCCCAAGCCCTTAGTTCCTTGAGGATCTTGCCAAGGTCCAAGTCTTCCTCACACTGAACTGTCTCAGTACAGATTGTACTCCAGAAGCTATAGGGATGGCATCTTAAAACTCTGCCCTTGGATTAGTGGGATTTAGCTACTGGGATCAGCCCCTGCAGAACAACTCTTTAAATCTCTCTGCACCACAGCACAGATGGCTCCTCTTCTTGAACTATTTAGGTTTGGAGTATGCAGAATATTTGAGTTTTGGATTCACCATTCTGCTAATGTGCCACGTTCCCTTTTTCCCTATTGTTGTTTGGGGCTTTTTTTGTACCTATCATGACATACACAGAACTTTTACACTTGCATCAAAGTCTTCTTGGAGGTTGGACTAGATGACCTTTAAAGGTTTATTCCAGTACAAACTATTCCATTATTTAATGTTTCTTGGTTATTTCTCTGGGTACTGTATATACCTCCCTAGAGGTGAGCTCTCCAATAAATCATTCCCAGGTACCTTCCCCTGGACCTGGCAATACAATTATCATCCTGGAAAAGCCTCAAGTGTTTCCATGCCTGCCCTAGCTAGAAAGCCCCTTGCAATAATTTAGCTGTGGTCAGAGGTCCAGCATTTGTAGTCTAGAGAGAATAATATGTAATTCAGCTACATGATATAAATTATACACACCTCACTGGCATGAGTTCAGGAACAGTTCCTCATGACTAATGACTGAGGGAAGCCACAGAGTCTTTCAGATGCAGTGGGGAGAGAAGCTCTCTCTGTTAATTTCATTCATTTGCTCCCATTCATTAATTTCCTTGCACAGTCCAGATCCAGGGAGGTTCCTGGGCATGTGCTTCATTGAAGGCTGTTACAGCTCAAGATAGCTATTAGGGATTATAAAATAGCTTCATATTTGGAAAGTCCCTAAGACCCACTTTAATGTCAAGCCTGACCTCAGAACACTGCTTTGTATGCTACCAGTGCATCAGGTTTTAACACCAGGTTTTACTCAAAAAATAACATTAAATAAAGTTTTTGCAGTTGGAAGTATTTTTTTTAAATTTGAACTTATAAGTTTGATTTATCCACATAGAGATATACCTATAGCTCCATCCATATGTCATATGCTCAGTGCTATCTTTCTGTATCAGCAATGGGGCTGCACAGTTTAATTCCACTTCAGGTCAGCAAACTCAAAGTCTCCAGGAGAAGCTGCAAAACTCCAGTGACTCACTTCTAGAGAATGTTTGTTTAGAGCATTCAAATCTCAGCAATGAAAGATTAAAAAATAATCACGGCAGTCTATTCATTAGCATAATTACTCTGCCCTTAACACTTCATAGCAGAGTGGGTTGAGAACTTAATCTGTGTCTCCATTTTCTTCTCCTTCTGTTTGTGGATGTAACAACCCTCCTTCCATTAGGTAATAACTGTGGCAGTAATCCATCCTCCCCAGGAAAAGCTGGTTATCCCAAATGTTTCCAGCACATCTCTCCCATGCTCAGGCTATCCAAGACTAGGGACAACACTCCTACTTCTACAAAACAAGCTCAGGTCCTAGCACTGCCTGATTGGTTTCACTAATAAACAAACAAGGTAAATCAAGCAGCTGAAGCAAAAAACCCCAACTATTTATGTAACCCATCTGGCTGAAATAAACACTGAAGTTTAAAACCCTGCCTGTATTTCCAAACCTTGCTTTTTTCCCCCCTCACATCTACAGCTTATCATTACTGCCACAACCACACTAGAAAGCAAAGATTTCTTTACAATGCTGTGTTATTTGCATACCATCAGATTAATTCCCAACACTCTTCAGTGCTCATTGAAGTGTGGAAGTGACACAACATTTCCTGTGGGACAGTCAAGCCACAGCTGTATTGCTTTGCTTTTAATTTTTAGAGCAGGAGAGGGTGCTCTAATCTCTCAGTCTGACCTCCTTCATCAGCCTGGCCAAGCAGCCTCCCAGGAGCTGCTGCTGCTCTGAGCTCTTCCAGGATCCTGGATACAAAACGTGTTTGGTAATGAATTGTACCAGAGGGTGCCACTCAATAAAACTGATTTCTCTGGAAAATCTCTTCTGTCAACAGCGACAGACAGGCAAAAGGCTTGATTCATGTTCTGCTCTCCCTGAAGAAAAGTCTCATATCTCAACTGATTATACAGAAAATTGAGAGAGAGCAGTACAGCAAGACTCACATTAGGCTTTCTTCATGTCCTCTGAACCCTAATTAAAAACTACAACCTTGGAGGATCTACCGTGTTCCTACGTCTATTATTCCAAGAGCTAATTACCCTCGACATTAAAAATACCCACTTAACATCCAGGGTGTCTGCCTTCAGCTTCCTACAACTGCCTCTCACTCTGCCTTTGCCTGAGGAAAAAAACCCTACAAAACAGGAAGCACAATAAATATCACCTCCCTATAGACATTTGCTCACCATAATTAGCTCACATCCCAGTCATTCTCTGGGCAAAATAAATCAACAGCTTGTTAAGGCTCTTGCCATAGAGCATGCTTTCAGGATTTCATCCTTGCAATGCTCTTTTAACATTCATTTTTAATTTTCTTTCTTTTGGCTAAATTAAAAACAGTATTAATTAGTAAGCTTTACTCCTTAGTGCTGAATATAGGAGTCATGGCATCCTTCATCACCTATTTGATTTTTCTCTGCTTTAATTCTATAGTTTGGATGAGCACAGTTGCAGAACCACTGTTTTTAAGCCCTTCTCTGCTCTCCTTAGTGCAAGCATCTGCCTTGGAAGTGTAGTATAAATTTTTCTTCCCAGATGTTTACAAACACATCTGGTTTAGTAGGTGCTTTTCAAGATTCATTTAATCAGAGGTCCAGACCAATTTGAAAGCTATCTGAATAATGATTTTTCTCTCTCTTCTGGGTGATATGGTAGAGTTATTGAACAGCACTCGGGGAAAAAAATCATATCCCAGAGGCTCCACTAGAAAACACTAACAAAGGAGAGTCCTCATCTACTATTTTATGTCAAAATAGCAATTAATTTTTTTTCTATGATACAGAGACATTAACTATATAACACTAATTTTCTCTTCAATATCAGCTTTCAGTAGGATGACAGTTTGTAGGTACTTAGGAAGATAGCATCACCATTTGACCTTACATGCCAGAATTGTGACTTAACTCAAAAGTTACATAAAGTCTGACTGACAAGATTTATTTTCAGTGCAGCCTCATGGTCTTGCATGAGTAAACCTTCACCCTTTAATTCTTCAGAAGTTCCTCTCCACTTTGTCCTTTCCATGACATTGTGTGTGCATGATGTCAACCCAGCCTGAGCTCACTTTCTTGACTCTGCATCACAGGAAGTAACTGATAACCCATGGTTTTGGTGGGACTGGAATTTTTGGGAAGGATTGTCCTGCTGTGGCATATTATCCTGTTTGCAAGATGCAGTCAAGCATTTGGAAGCCCTTTTCCTCCAGATTATCTGGTTTGCATCAGAACACCAACATCCCTGAGTCCTGCAGAGTCAAGTTCAAGTAAGTCCACTTTTCAAAAAAGGCTAGATTTATTTGATTTTCTTGGAAACAGATTTTGTAGTCTGTGAAATCTGATGTCTCTGACACTGGCGTTAGTGGAATACACGATGTTGCAGGTTTAGGTAGTCAATATTAGAGCTGGCAGGAA